GACCACCCGGTCTCCACGAATATTTGAAAATCTAGCAGCGACATGGTGGTGGTCGCCTATATTCCGTAGCTAACTCCAGAGGCTGCAGGCAGAGGAGATCACTTGAGCTCAGAGTTTGAGGCTCAGGGAACTAGGCCGTCATACACTGTACCGTCGCCGGGCAACAGATGCTAGACCCTTCTCAAACTTATAAAACAAAACAAAAACAAAACAAAAGTAAAAGTGAAGAGCGAAGTTTAGTGGATGACTGAAATAAATGTGTTTGGGGAGGGAAAAAGCAATCTAGTTCAGTCGTCATGATGGCCATTAATTCGTATCCCTTTCGCGTCATGATAAAGGGGGGAAACAGCAGGTCGCTCTGGGACGTTATAAGTCCACCCCTAGTTTAGCGGAGAGCTCAGTCCAAAGAGATGCGGCGCACATCCTGTGGCAGGCAGAGGCCGGCGTGGCTGTCGGAGATGCACCTCACACAGTGCGGGTGGGAAGCAGAGCCTGTGCAGAGCTCCGTGTGCTGGGGAGCCCTGAGCCCAGGCCGTGAGGGGAGGGACGTGCCCTCGTGGAGCCGACTCAGAGCGCCTGTCGCAAATGTTGATACTCATGCCCAAACCCCGCCAGGCGCACCAAATAAGTCCCAAGCACTACAAATCAAAATGAGTGGGAAAATAGCGCTGATACCCGAGGAATACACACCCGACAGCATAAGTGCACCACTTCATGTGTATGCGTCGTCCCTCAGAAGCCGACTGCAGCTCGCAGATTCGTCGCTCCCAACGTGACTCATTGCGCCCCGCCCCCGCGATCGTACGTCTTCAGGAGTGAAGGGCAGCTGGCAGGCGGACGCGAAGTCAAAATCGCCTGGCCTCAGCTGAGGCACCTTCGAGGGATCCCTGGCATCGTCTAATCGCAGGCCACTCGCATCACCCAGACGTGGTCTCCGCAGCTGAGAGCTTCTGTCCACGCAGACCTGCCACCGGCGTCACTGGCGATGGTCAGACTCCCTCGTGGCCCCGCCGGCTGCCATAGTCTCGGAAGTCAGCGTGCCCTGGACTCCAGAGGTCACGCCCAGGGAGCTTGCTGGGCACCCGCGCCGCCTGCACTCGTGGCTCCTTACGCTCGGTGCAGCGCGCTCGCTCGATCCGCCTTCCTTCTCGCTAGAGTTTCCCTTCATCCGACCAGCCAGCCCCGGCGATAGCACGCTCGGCTCCACAGTTTCCTGGGACACGAGCAAGGACGGGTTAACAGGATGGCCAGCCTGCTGCCATGTTCCCAGGCAACGCGGGACTGTTATCTACTAATCCTTCTCCTACCATCCCTCTGCTATCAAACACCCGGGCGGCAAGTTCCCACTCCGTATCTCGCGTGACAAGCGTAGCCTTCTACTCTGGTTCTGAGAGACTTCACTGCCTGGTGGCGTTGCGCCTGAGCTTGGGTGCATCCCCAGCTTACAGCGGCTCCCACTGTCGCCCTGCACGTCGGATGTATCGCACCGCCAGAATCTTCAAATCACGGAACGGATGAGTTCTGCCCTGCAGAACCCCAAAGAACGCAATAGCCACGTGCATCAGGCCTTTTTCTTGGTGAGTAGAAGTAAAAGCGAAGCAATACACCTTCCTCTGGGGACGGAGGGCTCTTCCTAGGCTTAGTCGCCTAACAGTTCTGAGGGCAGTTTAGTATACCCGGACTCTCTCTACGAGACCCTGCGGGTCTTTCGATCCTGCTCTTGCTTCTCTCGTCGCCCCCTAACACCGATACAGCAGTCTAAATGATGTTTGTAGATAGGCATCCCTACGGGTCTGTAAGACCACTTGTGGACTTGTATATATGACACCAGGCATCACAGTCACTCCGAGACCCGAGATGTCGAATATGACAAGGGCGGCTTGTCGTCGGAAAGTATTCCAGCCATCTGTTAATGTACGCGACGACCAGTTGAGGCATGGCTGGGAACTGTCTGGACAGCTCTTGGTATACTTGTCCCCCTTGCCGTGCTTGTTCGCGATTGTGCAATGCTAACTGCTGTTTTAAAATCTCTTGTGTGATGATTGGATCGCAAAAAGAAAAGAATGCATTCTTAGTGTGCAATCAGAGCGCTTGACACAGTCATTCTACCCCAAGCGGGCCAGATGCCAACCTGCTGCGAATAAATGACTTATGGGGCTCGGCATAGCGCCTACATGCTGGACTCGCTGTCTCTGGGTCAGCCCCTCGCCTCTTCGCTAGTCATGTCCACCTGCATCGCGAGCGCATGTAGCCGCGCCTAGGCTTAGCAGAGCACAATTGGCAGATTATCGTGGCAGGAAGGAAACCTGCAGTATCTTTTAACGATTTAGGTTCATACTACGAATGGTTTCATCCTCCCTAGAGACTATAGTATTGTTTCTCGATCTTCCTTACGATCCTCGGGCCGTCCGGAGAGAGGGACATTCAGCGCATTCTAACTGGCTTTCTTACTCAATAGATCTTATCGTTATAGTCAATAACTACTGTAGGCAGGTTATCACTCTTCTCGCTAAACATTCAACCTCAATTATTTTCAAGAACCAGGGGAATGACGCACCAGGTGACGCATTCTGGGAATGAAGGCGCCCGACCTCCCTCCTAGTTCCGCCGCCCTCTGACCTCTCTACACAGGGGTGTCTATAACTGTGCGTTTGTATCCACAGGTATCAGTGTCTAACTCAGATCTTGGTCTCCAACGACGCTCAACACTTTGGTATCTGCTTTTTACAGAAGCAGATGGCGGCTGAGCAGGAGAAGGTGGGGGCAGAGTTCCAGGCGCTGCGGGCCTTCCTGGTGGAGCAGGAGGGCCGGCTCCAGGGCCACCTGGAGGAGCTGTCCCGGGAAGTGACACAGAAGCACAAGGAGAACCTGACCCAGCTTGCAGGTGAGATCTCCCAGCTCTCCAAGCTCTGCGGCCAGATCCAGGAGACAGCCGGAAAGCCTGACCTCGACTTTCTCCAGGTGAGTCTGAGTCGTTTATCCCGAGGCATCCGGATGGGCAGCCGGGGAACCGAGTCAGATCCCGGGGGTTTAGTAGAATCGTGGGACCCGGCGCGAAAGGGCACTGAGGGAAGGCACCCTGACTCTCCTGGGGTTGGAGGTCTAGAGGAATGTGATAAAACCTTGATTGAGGGCCGGGCGCGGTGGCTCACGCCTGCAATCCTGGCACTCTGGGAGGCCGAGGCAGGAGGATCGTTCAAGTTCAGGAGTTCGAGACCAGCCTGAGCAAGAGCAAGGCCCCATCTCTACTAAAAATAGAAATAAATTATCTGGACTAAAAATATATATAGAAAAAAATTAGCCGGGCACGGTGGTGCATGCCTGTAGTCCCAGCTACTCGGGAGGCTGAGGCAGGAGGATCACTTGAGCCCAGGAGATTGAGGTTGCTGTGAGCGAGGCTGACGCTATGGCACTCACTCTAGCCTGGGCGACAAAGTGAGACTCTGTCTCAAAAAAAAAAAAACAAAAAAAAAAACAAAGGAAAATAATGAACGAATATGAAAAAAATGGGAAATAGGGAAAATAAGAAAAAATAATAATAAAAAAAAAAGATGAAAGGCGAATGGAAGTTACCCCATGCTGATTTGGTTTTCTTCTGTGCTTTCTTCCAGGAATTCAAAAGCACACTAGACAGGTGAGTGAGCCTCACGGTGCCTGGGGCTGAGCTGGCTCTCTCCTCTTTCCCCACCCGCCCTCTCACCTGATCCCACCGCTTCCTCGCCTGGCTACCTTCCGTGGCAAATGTCTGCCTGCCTGGCCTCGGCTTGTCCCACACGAGGTCTGGCTCTCCCCCTTTTTCTACCTCTTTCTGCCAAGAGGATCTCACCGTCCTGACTGTCCCAGCCCGGTGGGAGCAGGCCGGTGTCCGGGGACCTTCCTCAGAGCCCCTGTCCTGCTGCAGGTGCAGCAATGTTCCTGGCCCCAAGCCAACCACAGTCTCTTCTGAGATGAAGAATAAAGTCTGGAATGTCTCCCTGAAGACCTTCGTCTTAAAAGGGCTGCTGAAGAAGTTCAAAGGTACGGGCCTGGCTTCTGGGCTGGGCCATGCAGGCGGGGTGGGTGTGGTCAGGTTGTCGTAGCTCGGGGCTCCCCAGGGTGTGCCCTTCCAGAAGCTTCGTGAGAAAACAGGAGAGAGCTGGGTGTGCCAACGCCAGGCTGGTAGGGGGAGGCATCGGTGGCAAATGCAGCTTCCCACGGGTTCAGACCGCTTGGAGGAATACTGGGGGCAGAAAGAAGTCTGAGGAGGGGAAGTTCAGCTCGGGCCAGAGCTAGGGTACTTGGGCGTCTGGCCCTGCCCTGCCGCCATGCTTGGCCCGGGTGTCTGCACACCAACTCGTGCAGCCTCTGGAGCGGCTGGGGACGAGCAAGTCTGTTGGGCTATCAACGTGGGAAGAGCTGGTGTCCTTGCTAGACAGTCTCCCACGTCGTCCTCACACACCCTGCTTTGTTTTTCCTCCGCAGAGGATCTTCGGGGAGAGCTGGAGAAAGAGGAGAAAGGTAGGGCTCCTGCTGGTGCCTACTGAGTCTGGAGTGTATTTGACCTGACAAGGAGCCCCGCCCTGCCGGAGACATCTCCGGGTGTTACACGATGTGGGTTCTCTTCTGCCCACCATCTCGGCGATCTGCGTCGGGCCATGCTGCGCCCATTCCGCCCTGGGAAGTGGGCAGCTCTGGCTCCCTTTCAAGGGGGCCCAGTAAGCTATGATCAGTCGTCCCGCCTCCCCGAGCGTTGTCAGCGAGCAGAAGGAGTGGCCCTGTACTGGGGTGACGATCGTAGATGCGGTGGGGTAAGTCTGGTGCTCATATACCGTGGATTGTAACCTCTTTCCTTGTGGTCTCTCGCCCAGTCTCCAGGACTGGAGCGAACCTCGCCCTGGGATCTCTGTAAGGCTCAGGGAATGCAAGGGGGCCGGAGCAGGAAGAGGGAT